GGGGCAGGGGCCTCCTGCCTGGGGCTCCCTCTGCAAGGCCTCAGCTCCCCAGGGGCCACTGCTCCTCTCTCAGAGGCTCCTGTTCACACATTCCTGGGAGCTCACATGGGTAGGTGACACTGTCTGCTCACTGATGAGACCTGCCCGGAAACTAGACCATTCTCCTATTCTCAGGACCTGGGCAGTTTCTTAACAACAAATCTCCCTGAAGCTCGACAGGAGCAGTGTGCAGTAAGATGGACAAGAAACAGCTCCTCAGACGCACGTGCTGCTGACCCAGCCCTGATGTCCTGCCCCTGTCAGGTCCTGGGGTCTTGGGGAAGGGCCTGGTCCCCCCACACACCTGGGCCAGGGTCCTGAGGGGTCACCTGACAGCATGCTGTTAGAGAGGGAGACTGGGCAGGAGGTGCTCTGGCAGGTGAGGGGGAGGGGGATCGGTAAAGGAGCCCCTGGGCCTAGATCCCTCTTCCTTCTCCCCTGTACCCAGCAAGCTGGGGTCTCCCCAGGCGCCCTGTGTGGAGGCTCAGCTCCATCCCCAGGCCTCTGCTTGGGGAAGAGGTGGACAGGCCATGGACATGACATGAGTGACCTGAGCCTTGCGGGAGTGTCTGATTTTCACAGAGAGCACAGAGAGGGCAGAACAGAGTATTGTTCCCCGAGTGTCAATATGATATTTGAAAGATTGTTCTGAGAACATGGACAAATCTAAGGCGTAAGAAAAAAATAAAGCAAAAATCTGGCATTAAACGTCTGAGACAGGGGCCGCCCTGGGGCGCAAGGGGTTTAGCCGCAGACAGTGAGGCTGCCCCAGCCTCTAGGGCCGATTCCTGCCGGGAGTGACCCCCGGGGCGCAGCAGACATCTGCCCCCCCGGCCCCCTCAGCAGTGTGCTCCAGTTGATGGCCTGTCTTCTCCCCACTCTGTCCTGGGGAGTCCTCGCTCCCCACAACTCCTGCCTGTACCCTAGTATTGTGGGCATAAATAATATTTTAAATTAAAAAATAAAAAGTTTGAACAGATAATGTAATGAATGCATGAAATTTGATATGAAAAAATAACAAGTCACAGGAGATAAACTTGCACCACACGACAGGCCCTTCCCTCCCCGGCCGCAGGAGTCACTCAGCAGCAGTGACCTCAGGTCTCCCCAGGACACAAGCCGAGGGCGGCTCTGTGCTGGGGGGTTGCCCCCACCCAGAGTCTCGGCGTGATGTGCGTGAACTCGAGCGTCACACGGGGAACGCTGCATCATTATTGGGTGTCAGAAAGGGAGTCAATGCTCTGCACCAGCTGTGAACCTCCTCACATGACAGGAGTGGTCGGGGGAGGTGACCTAGCAGTGGCCTCCTGT